AAGAAAAAAATCATTTTTGAAAGTGGTTTTTTTGGAATATCTTTTAAACGGCTCGATCAATCAACTTCAAAAACAAATCCGCCCTTCAACTTGAAAAACTACGCCGATCGTGAACGAATGAAAACCGAAAAAAGTGTTTTTTCGGGATTACTCCGAAATTTTCGGTTCGATCAATTAAAACCTGAAAATAACTTATGAAGATGATAAAACTGCGTCGAATGGCGCGTCGAGATCTGATGAATACTCGATTTTCGAAAAACGGGGTAAAAACAATAACTTCCCGAATTCAAAAAAATTTTTAATTTTTAAGTTAAAAAATAGTCGGTTTTTTGGGCCACCCTAATGTGCATAAACAATCGAAAAAATTTTTTCATGTTGTTTCTTTGCTCCAGAAACAAGTGACCGTAAAAATTAACATTCACGGTAAGGGAATTATGAAAAGGGAAAACGTATGAATAAAATGTATCCCAATTAAAAGTAATTAAGTCTAATCATTGCTTGATTGGACATGAAATAACTAAATAAAGATTATTACCTTAGAAAACTAAGAGTCTAACACGGTGTCGTTTCGATTTAACGAAGATTCGAAAAAGTTTCGAATTATTCGAACCTTTCGAACTATTCGAATCTTTCGAACAATTCGAATCTTTCGAACAATTCGATATTCGACTCGAATCTCGAATCGAATCCTCAGATTCGGTTTGATTCGATTCGAGCAAGATTCGCACAGCCCTAGTAATAATCAATGATAAATGACGACATAAGAGGGTGTGAAGCTAAAAGTTGATATTGAAAGTTCACATCGTAAACAATATTGTTTTTACTCTTATAGCATAAACACTCTGCTAATATATGCAATAATATTTCTTAATACATATATTTATTACCGACAAATCACAACTTTTATAAGGACTAAAAATTTCTGTATTTTTTCCAATATTAATATTTTTTAAACGATCTTAATTGTTATTAATCTCACCACTGCCTAACCGGTAGTACTAATCATTTAGTGACCCACGTGTTGAAAGCATGCTTTTGTTAAAAAATGAACTAAGTTGTTCTAGTTCATTCACGTGAACAACAAAGGGCGTTCACGTGAACATACTAATAGTAGCCTAAAAAACGCGCACATGCTTGAAAATACTGTACTATACAAATATATATAAATATGCATGTATACAATCACGTTCTATTATTAAACTGCTTTGATAGTAGATTAAAAAATTATCTTCATTCTTTAATGACTCTGACACACATGAATCACTGTCTTGTAGCGTGATTACGAATGATAAACAAGAAGAAGCGGATCTTATATACCAGCCTAGAAGTCTTTATTCAGTTAGTCTTTGAAGACGTAAACAGTTTTGTGAGTTGTAAATTGTTAAACTTTTTTAAAGTGATTGAATTTTTTTCTTAAAATGGATAGCAACTATATTTATATTTATATTCTTCTAGTATTCTCGATTGGTAAACTGGGTAAGTATTTTTTTATTATACTTATCCGAAAGAATTTATCGTGTCTAAAATGTGTTCTGTACACTGTATAAATCTGTAGTTTTTAATGTTTATTTTTCTATAATTAATGATACTTCTAATCAAAATAAAATTTTTTATTGAGTACAAAGAATACTCACACAGTAAAAATTTTTTCGTTACATTCAACATAAAAATTTGTGTTATGATGACTTTTTCTTACACAAATTTAAGGTTTATTCATCACAATCTGTGTGTGTGTAACGATAAAGTAACACAACTTTGTGTTAAAATGATATTTAAAGAGTGTTATTAAGTATCGAATAACATTCATTTTGTAAAAAAACGGATCAATCTAATAACACAAATAATTGTGTTGAATTAACACACTAAAATGTTAAATATTCTACACACATTTATTACACTTTAAACAGTGACGAAAAATTTTTTATACAAACTTAAGTTTTGGTTAATTTTTTGAATTTTAAATTATAAAATCTAGATATAGACAAAATATTAATTAATAAACTGAAGAAAATTTTAAAGATAAAAAAAGCAATATTTTCTACTGTCAATTATTTTTTTTCTTTATTAATTTTATTTTTGAAATTTAACATTGAATACCATCCAAATAACTATCTAAAATTTTTGTTTATTGTTAATAAAATTATTTTATTTATTTATCGAAAAATACGAATGTTTAGGCTTCATCTGTGCAAAACATTTTTAATAATTTTGATCCTAATTTTTAAAAGAATAAACTAAGAAACGATAAAATTTTTTTGATTAGCAGCAGAAAACACATCTTCGCATAGAGCGAAACAAACCACCCATTCCCCTTACGGCGTTGGTCGTCAGTTGCCTGACGCCAACTCACTTGCGGGCCCCTAATTTTTTTGATTAGATAATAATTCATATCGATGATTATTGTGAAAAATTCAGTAAACTTACTTGAGTTGTTTTCATTCAATGCGCCTGACAAATAAATTTATATAGGAAAATTATATAGATATACCGATAATATTAAACAAAAATCTAATTTGTCAATCATCAATCAAATGTTTGGCAAGTGATGGAAGAAATAAGAAATAATCACTTTTTTAAAAGTGTTTCAACTTTATTTAAAAGTATTTCAAATATAATTCTAAAACTTTCTAAGTTATTTTCAAAATTTTACAATTATTCTAGAACGTTATAAACCATTTGTTATTCTGTTATTTTAGAACATTACGAAAAATTTTGTAACATATTCTAAACTGATCACAGATATTCCTTATCAAATTTACCTTATCTTAACTCCGATGCAATGAGTTTCTAATAAATGTTTCTTTTTCTTTAGCTTCAAGCAAAAACATTGAAAAAAATCAGAGAAATGTCAACGAAGACGTAAAATATCTCGCGTTTGTAACAAACGGTGATTTATATTCTTGCCCATGTGTAATAATAAGCGAAAGACATTTACTGGCAAGTGGATCATGCATCCGCAGACATGAGCGTGGATTAGAAATAATTGCAGGTGTCGTTCCACACACCTCTGATACAAATGATACCGATAATGATGATGAGAGAGCTATGAGAAAGATATCCAAAATAAAGTATCATGACCAATTTGTCAACCAAGTTCGGAGCATACGGATACATAATAGTTTTGTAATATTAACTGTAAGTATCAAAAGTTCCTCTTTTATTCTGACGGTTTTATTAACTCTTATATTTCTTCCTCAAAGTTTCATTCATAAATTCGATTTTTAGTTAACAGACAGCCTGCCAATAGGAAACAACATAAAAATAGCCAAATTACCGACTAAAGACATTGAAATAAATGATGAAGCTACGATACATGGTTGGTACCAAACTTGCACAATCAGATCACCGCCTAGATTTATCAATGCGCCGCTAACTGTAGTTGATAGCAGTAATTGTTCGCGAATTGACAAGGATGAATTTTGTGCCAGCAGCGAAATGACGGAAAAGGTAGTCTTCATATATTATATTTTCCGGACTTTTAGTTACGATTTCATTAATCTATATAATTAAGAGAATTAGGAAAATATCATCTCCGGCGTATTTATATGATAAAATGAGTTTTTTTTTAATCAAATTTAGTATAATTGAAAAGGTCTAGACCTAAATTTGTGTCTTTTCAATATTTGAAATGCCATTCAGCAATAGTTAATTTATTATGATAAATTTTCTAAGTAGTTCTAAATAGATTCGAATTTCGCGATAAACGTTAATTTATTAATTTTGTTTTGTAAATATGAATGTGGTTATTAGTCAAAATTTATTTTTTATGATTAAGAGACTAAAAAAAATTCAGTAACGGGTATATCTTTATCGTAAATTGAGTTTGATATTTTTTCAGCGATAGTCATTTATGACGTGAATATGTAGAAGAGCAAGGAAAATTTTGTGACGAGCATATTGTTATTTTCATAGATAAATTTTTGCTATCATCAGAAATGTCTTGACAAGAATTTGTACTTTTTCACGGTTTTACATATTTTTCAGTGATCGTCAATTTTTGACGTGATAACGTCTTATAAATTGATGAACACCGACAGCGCTCACGAAAAAATGTCGCGTTCCGACAGACCGTTCCGCTTTTGTGTTCCTCCTGAGCGTTCCGCCTGAGCCTGTAAGTGCAAGCGAGAGCGCGCAACAAGCGAAAGAGAGGCACGATCAAACAAACGATAGAGAGGCCCAAGCATTGGCTTATGACATATATCTCTCTTTTCGCGTAACGTCAGAGCTAGCAGTCAGAATATTGTTCTATAACTAATTGTTCGTGATTAAACAAATTATATCAATTATATCAGATTATTATTGTTGATGATATTAATAATTGTTCATAAAGAATATCAATTATAAATAAATAAATTAATAATAATTGTAAACGATAAATTAATAAAATAATTAATATTAATTATAAATAATAATAATCATATCAATTATCAAATTATTGTATGAATTTTTGATTAACAATTTATCAATAACTCCTTTTTTTTGTTAAAATAATTTTTAAATATTCAAAATTTTGAAATTTTTAAATACAAAATAATGATAATTTAGTGATAATAATTCAATTCGATCCATAAAAGTATGCAATTTTTCATCAATGTTTCTTTATGACGTTATCACGTAAAACTATCGTCCGTAAACCGAGTTTACAGACAACCAATTTTTATGTTAAGTTTTTTGAAGAGTTTTTAATAGATTGTTGATTCGATAAATTTGTTCCGTCACATTTGTCCATTAAATTATTTGTAATTGATCTTATCATAGCACTATTGTTTTTCAAATTTATTTCAGAAGTAATCAAACTATTTATTAAAATAACAGTATCGAAATTATTGTTCAAGAGCTAAATAAACATAAATAATTTTTTTGTTTAGATAATCCATTCATCGCCAGTCATTGTCAATGGAACAATAATCGGATACACGACCTTTGGATGCCCGTCATTAAACAATGACCACACAGTGACAAGTGTTTATTATTACTTGTCATTTATTAAAAATGCCATGAAGCCGTTTATTTAAAAAAAAAAAAAATACTATTTTAATTTTAAGAATAATTGAATAATGATCTGAATTGTTATATATAAATACTTGACTGTGAAATATGTATCATACCAAACTGTATTTTTATGAGATTAAAATTAATTTTTTAATTTTTTTGACTAATTGGCGGGAATTTTTAGGATGAATAACATTGTAGCGACGGAAAAAAAATTTTCATTTGATCTAAACTTTTTTTTCCGCGATCAGATTAGCTTATATAGTAATATCAGAGGTTTTTTGAGTACGTATAACTAAAGGCTGAAGTTTTTTTTAAATGAACTTGTTAATATGTTTGTCATCACTCCATCAGATAACGATTGACTTTTTAATATTTTACACCTAAATATTGTGTTATGTTTGCTCAGCAACTCATTACCATCAGAAAGATTTTACGGTAAAATTTAAAAAACCATAATATAATCGTGGCTCTTATAATTTGTATACCTAAGAGATTAAGTTACTTTAAATGAACCTTTCTTTTATATTTCCCATCAAATAAATGTTAACTTTTTAATCTTTCACACCTTTCTATTGTGCTATGTTTGCAGCTGCAATTCATCATCATTAAAAAGTTTTGACGGTTCGTAATATAATAGTGGCTCTTTAAGTATGTATACCTAAAAGATTAAGTTCTTTGTAATGAATTACTCTTTTATGTTTTACATCAGATAACTTTTGACTTTTTAATCTTTAACACCTAGGTATTGTGCTTTGTTTGTACTGCAATTCATCATCATTAAGAAGGTTTCACGGTAAGGTTTAAAGTTCCTTAATATAATGGTGGCTCTTTAGGTGTGTATACACCTATGAGATTAAGTTCTTTGTAATGAACCTCTCTTCTGTGTTTTACATCAGATAACTTTTGACGTTTTAATCTTTAACACCTGGGTATTGTACTTTGTTTGCACTTCAATTCATCATCATTAAAAAGGTTTTACGGTAAGGTTTAAAGGTCCATAATATAATAGTGGCTCTTATAATTTGTATACCTAAGAGATTAAGTTACTTTAAATGAACCTTTCTTTTATATTTACCATCAGATAACTGTTAACTTTTCAATCTTTCACACCTTGCTATTGTGCTATGTTTGCGTTACTATTGGAAAAGTTTTAAGAAAAGGTTTCACCCTCTATCGGGCGTGGCTGATCTCACAGGCTCAGCAAAAACATTTAGTCGTTAGTCGTTTTTTCCGTTTTATTATGAAATCCCCAAAGGTGTGTGTTTACTTCATCCAAACATATGGTAGGCAGCCTATTTTCCAAGGTCTTAGCTCCCAAATATTAATAAATCCGAGAAAGAAAATTTCGATTAAATTTTATTCTTTCAGAGTCTAAGAACTAGATTTCATACGTTTTTTTTATTTTCCGTGATTTTTAATAATAATTTTGTGATTTGAAAATTGAAAGAATTTTGAAAAATGGAAATTTGGGTCTTGGTTTTTTTAATCTTTTTAATGATGTTTAATATATTTTTTTTCCATATAATTGTGCATAATTACGTTGTTAATATTCTATTTAAAATGTGCACGGTTTTTTTTATATTAATATTCATTAGAAAAATTATAATTATCAATTTTCATAATGAATTTTCCTCCCCGAGGGTTAAAAGTTCTGAATATAAAAGTGGCTCTTTTAATTTTTTTAAATGAACCTGTCTTTTATGTTTGCCATCAGATAACTTTTAATTTTTTAATCTTTAACACCTAGGTATTGTGTTGTGTTTGCTTGGCAATTCATTACCATTAAGAAGGTTCCACTTTAAAGTTTAAAAGTCTTCCATATAATACGGCCTCTTTGAGTTTGTGTACCTAAAAACTTAAGTTCTTTCAAATGGAGATTTTTATCATATTTCACATCAGATAACTTTTGACTATTTAATCTTTCACACCTAGCTACTGTGCAATGTTTGCACTGCAATTCATCATCATTAAAAAGGTTTTACGGTATAACGTTTAAAGGTCCTTAAGATGATAGTGGCACTTTTAGTATGTATACCTAAGATATTAAGTACTTTGTAATGAACCTTTCTTTTATATTTTTCATCAGATAACGGTTAACTTGTTAATCTTTCACACCTGGCTATTGTGTTATGTTTGCTTATGATCTACCTGTTGAAGATTCGATCTTTCGCACTTAGGCAGTAATTTAATTCTTCTGCTGCAAGGGAATAGTTACGCCCCCGGCAGACTTTCCTACACTTTCGATAATCTACGAATTTGAACCCAGAACTGTGGCAAGTACGTCAGCGAATTTGTACGGGACTTGCAATAAACAATGAAATATTTATCGTTTTTTTGGAAACACATTTATTAAATTAAATATCCCTGTTCAAATTAATTTTTCTCAATATCAATTAAGGTAGTTCCAGCATGAAATCACTTTTCGACAGATTCGGCTGAAATTTTTCTTACGGGTTCAGAATAGCTTTATTTATAAATTCCTGAAATCTCATAATTTTTGACCGCTTAGATCGCGAGATATTTAAAGTCAAAGTTGGCGATTTTGAGGGTCATTTTCCATTTAAAGCATGTAAAATTTCCGGTCTCTCCAACTATTTTTTATTATATTAAAAAATTTTCTCGACAGAATTGGAAAAAAAATTAGGAGAGTGTTGAAAAATGTTTTTAGAATAAGTTAAAAAAATAAAAATAGCACCTCACCGTTTTGTTATCGCGATATAATAATTTTAAAAAATAAATTTCGATCCATTTCTAACCTGCTCACTTAACAACTTATAGTGATTTGGCAACGCCGTGCGCGACGCTCCCTGAAATAGTGTAGCATAAAAAGCGGGAAATTCAAATCTTTCACGGTTTTCAAGAGCAACGTTGCCAGATCACTAGACTAACAATATGTAATTGTATGTGTGAACGTCTGTGTGCCGAGGCTTTCAAATTTTTGTCCATAGTAAATGGTCTGACTATACTATACCACGCTGGAACTACGTTAAGAATATTTATTATTGAATTTCTCACAATTTATAATGTTTATGTTTTTGTTGCTAAGAAAAGACCAACAATCAATCCATAGAGACCAAGAACTTCAGCGAAAATTAGAATTAGAATCATGCCGACGAACAGGCGAGGTTGTTGAGCGACACCTCTGACACCGGCATCTCCAACAATACCGATAGCGAATCCAGCCGCTAATCCACAAAATCCAACAGCTAATCCACCAGATAAGTGCATAAATGCCCTAAAAATTAAATAAAAAAATGACCAAAATTTTAAATAGCAGATTCGTGGGAAGAAAATTTAATTTTTGACGTTGAGAGTATTTTTATTTATTATTAAAAACTTACTGGTAAAGTGAATAGCCAGCAGAAGGTTTCTTAATGTCCTGGGTTATTAAAATTGCAATAACTAGTCCGTAGATTGCCAGCACTCCAGCCATAACAACTGGAAGGATCGACTTCATAATCAATTCCGGTCTCATCACTGACATTGCAGCGATTCCTGTTCCTGATTTAGCTGTCCCATAAGCAGCTCCCAGTGCTGAAATAAAAAATTTTACATTAAATAAAATAATCTAAAAAAGTATGCCATTAACTCTCATGTTATCATTTAAAATAAATCAAACAATGTTGATAGTTATTGTGATAAAAAATAAGTATAGAATTCTACATTGATTGAAATTTGTTTTTTTTAACAATCAACTTACCATTATTATTTATTATTGAAATCATAAAAAATATTAAGTATGTAATGATAAAAAAATAACCATCATTAACTTTAAAAATATAAGGGATGGAAAAATTATCAAAATTGAATTTGACACTTCGGACACGAGCATGCTTCGAGCGTTGCGAACGTGATATGCTGAATGTATTTATTCGTTGATTAGAGAGAAAAATTAATATGAGTTAAAATATACACTTTTTATACAATTGAGGTGTTTGAATTGAATTACCAATTTTAAATTTTATTTATAAGAGTTAAATGCAAAGAATTTGAACAATTATTTTTCATACAACTCTTCTTCAAATAATTATGAACGTATTAGAATAAACAAACAAAATTGGATCGACTAAAAATGCTTGTCAATAGTTATTCTGTTTTTTGTACAGTGAATTGTTAATTGTCTCGAGTTCTTTTGGACAAATCTTTATTTTCTTAAATTTTTTTATGAATAAATTGATTGCAAATAATGCTAGAATTAATCACTGATAAAGTATCTACATAATAACGCTAAGTACACGGAAAAAAAAATGTAGGAAAAATTACAATTGTCACATCGTAATCCAGGACCAGACTTTCAATATCTTCACTTTCATAAGTTTACATTCTGAAATTTACGATTTTACATTGTAAAAATGCGTATAAAAGTAGTCAATATATGAATTTTTACAATGTAACATCGTAAAATGTAAAATTAAGAAAATGAAGATTTGAAAGTCTAGTCCTGGATTACGATGTTACGATTGTAACTTTTCCTACAAATTTTTTTTTCGTGTATTAGCGAAGACTAACACCCTTGAAAGTTAGGAGACTCAAAGCAGATTTTCCTTAGCCTCTCTCTGAGACATATACACTACCAGTTTATAATATTTATGCTTATTGATTCAACAGGTTTTATTAATAATTGTAAAATTTAATTAAATTCATTCGAATATTGAGAAGAATATGATTATAGCTTAAAGAAATTAGTGAACTAGGAAATAGACTACTACATTTGCACAGTCATCTATTGATTTTTCTGGAATATTTATTGGGAATAGTGCTGACAAGCTTTTCCGTAAGAAATTTTAAGTCGGCCAGTAATAAAGCACTTCTAGTGACATGTACGGTAACGGGGTATAACATAAAAGTGCTTACAGCTGAGAATCACTGCAGATGCTGCACCCAATCCTCCAAAGAATGGTCCATAAATCGGACATTCTTCTGCTGAACACACTGACATTCTTTATTATTCACTAGATAATTAACAAAAATCTTTATTGAAAACGATCGGTAAATACTTAAAGTATCCGAATAACGATGTTTAAAAGTCTGAGTTAGTTTATAAACTGCCTTCGAACAGTAAGTAATGATCACGTCAAGGCAATTAGTTAATTACTCAAGATACTTCAAGTTGTTACCAGATTACACATAGCTTCAAATTGATAAGGTAACACAAGGCTTTATTTATAAAAATTATACCCACGTTAATTTAAGAATTCTTTTATAAGAGAGTACTTATGAAGCAAAATAATACTTAAGAAAAATATTTTGTAAAAAACAAAGTAGAAAGTTCTCTTAAAAGTACTAGAAATTTTCAAAACAATTTATTTCGAATTATCAATCTGTTTAAATATTATTATATTCTTTGAAATCCTCTAATCCGTCTAGATAATATAGCTGACGAAATACTTAAAAGATAACGATTTTATCGGATTTATTGTAGGTGGATATCCATTACAAATTTGATAATCAGGTTTATTGTTGTAATAGATATACATTGAATGGAATCTCGAATCGAAATATACGACGCCAATTAGAGGTTTTTAATATTTAGAACGTAAATTATTGAATACATAGATTGAAAATAAACGGAATTGGATTAACCACCTATACATTTCAATCTGATTTAATGCTATTTTTTATTTCTTAAACCCGCATTGTTTGATTCATTCCAATGAAATCCAATCTTTCTCACTGGTATAGGTTAACTAGAAATACTTCTTACCGATTCATTTAAAATTGTTCTATACCGACCGAAAGTAAAAATATGATAATATAACATGATCCATGCAATACGATATTTTTTATCTGACTTGTTGAAAAATAAAAAAAATGCTCTTGTAGATTTATTCATAATCATTTTTTTATTAGACGACAAATTTAAGTTTTCATGTATAAGCCTGGAAACATTATGAAAATATAAATTTTGTTTATTTTCTGAAAAAGTAATAGTATATTACACCCCTTGGAAAGGAAAATAAGAAAAACCTCAGATCACATGTAATTGTTGGTCGAGGCGAAGCCGAGGTCAACAAACATGTGATCTGAGGTTTTCTTTTTTACTTTCCAAGGGCCGTATACTATTTTTCTTACTACGCCGGTTGTATTTATGGGGTTCCCGCTGCGATTTCATGGCAGAAAGCCTCACTTTTATGCCGTGGTCGAGTCGCGCATGCGCTCTACGACGGCAAGCCGAAAAAATGTATTCATGCTCTGACAAAGTAACACGAGGCAGCAGAAAATCCAAAAGTCGGTAGTCGCACTCACTCTATTATACTTATGTTTATAAGCATAACTTTACTTGTGATTGTTATGAATGTGTCTGTCTTGTTATGTGTCAATTATTTTAGGTTGAAACTACGTCAATTACAGAAAATAAATAGTTATTTTGATGAAATGAGACTTGTTAAATATTTAAATTACAAAAAAAAACGAAAAATATTTTTTAATCTGATAAATATTCTCAAATAAATAAATTCATTATTGAACAAATAATTATTTGAAAAAATACACAAACAGATTTTTCTCTCAACTTTTTTTTCTATGCATTTTGTGATTATTATTTCATTTTTTTGTTTTTTCTTATTCTTAACAAGAGCCGGTCCCTATGATTACAGCTTTTGATTGCTCGTCTAAATAAAGAAGATTTTCGAAAAAAAACGCTCAGCTACGTGATAGATTTTTTAATTATCTATTTTATAATTGAGCGTTTTTTTCGAAATTCTCATTTGTTTAAGAGAAAAAACCAAAACTGCAATTAGCTTTATCATCATGAGTGCAACAAGGATGGTACCGTTTCTCGCCGTGAGTGCGACGCGAGAAAAAGACGGGATAGGCACTTAAAATCAGAGTTGATTTATAATATATTAATACCTTTAAACTTATTTAATTAAATTAAGATCTTTTTTCAAAAGAAAGTAATATATTTGTCAATTATGATAGATTATAAATTAATATCTTTATTGACAGGTGTATTTGATGCCCCCCCCCCCCAACCAGCAGCACTCACTTCGCTCATGCTGCAAATGTCGGGGGCAGGCATCAATTTTTTTAACGCAATTTCTTGCGTACTTTCGACCAGGTAGCAAGAAAACTAGTATACAGTACAAGGGCAGAAATTTGAGAGCCCTGAACTGCGCGCTATGATGCCCTCGGCTTTGCCTCAGTGCAGGAATCTCAACTTTCTGCCCTTGTAGTTCAATATACTATTTCTAGCGTGAGATAAAACTTTCTAACTGGACAGTACATTATATTGCTGCTTAAAAATAACTATAAAAAAATTTATCAAATTTTTCATGATGTGACATTAAAACTATTTTTAAGAAAACTAAAACGATAGCTCACTTATTTTTATGTATTACAGTCATTATTAATATTAACTTCAAGAAAGATTAACCATTATTCTTCAAGTTATTTTTCAAAATAATAAATATCAACCTTAAGTTAAAAAAATCATTTATTACATTTTTCATAATGGTCAAAATATTCATGTACTTTTTAATATTAAATACTGTATTGAATCTAAATGTTATTAAAGTTAAATCGTGTGGAAGTTTATCAAAACCAAACTGTTCAAAGCACATTTACAAAAATTTAAAACCCCGGGAAAATGTTACATCGCAACTACCAAACACACGGAAAATTGGACACTTAGCTCTGGTTGCTACCCATCAATCAATGTCTTCTTAGATAAAAATATGGATATTCGAACTCAGGACTTAAGTATTGCAGATCAATTGACATATGGTGTGCGCATGCTAGAAATTACTGTACGCCTGGAAAACGGCAAATTAGAAATTTACTCCAGTGGAATAGCATTAAACAAAACGTTATTCAACGCACTTGTCGAAATCGAACAATTCTTACATTTTCATTCTCGTGAACTTGTGATACTTGTCATTAATTATGATGATCATTATTTTCTTGACTGGTTAGATGGTATTTTAACCAAATTAGATCTGTGCATGGCAATAGACGAATACAATCATGTGATTGCTGGGTGGCGATTAGTCAAAAATTGGGACCTGGACGAGACAATTGATAAATACCGAGGAAAAATATTACTTGCGACCAACGATTTTTTGTTTGAAGATTGTATACACTCGATAAGGCATGAGTGTCTAACTTCAAAAGATATTGTTCTTAGTGATACATACGCTTTTTCGGATACAATATCTCAAAAATGGAATAGATACTTTAAACTTAATCAAAATTGTTATTTTTTTACAAGTTTCTGCTTTTTTTATGACATGAGTTTTGATGTCTTGGACCAATATGCTTATGTGAAAAAAGGTTATAATAGGCGTGATGTTACTGCATTTGGGTACTATGATAATGTTGAAAATAAATGTTACAAGCCACTTAATTATATATTTATTAATAATGATATCCCGGATTGCATCTTTAAATTAAATATTTTCAATTTTGAATTCATAACAATGGAAATTATTGATCATGTTGACAAAATGAATGCTGATGTTCGTCACTCTCATTCTATTAATGTTATTATCTACCTACTTAATTTTATACAGAACATAATAACTTTAATAAAAAATTAATTACTTGATATATAAAATTTAATTGCAATCCATTTTTTTGAAAATAATTTCGAAAATACCGATTTTTATAGATAAAACGAACGGTTAAAAGTAATTTTTTAATTGTATAGATTCATCTGCAACATTCATATGTTTATAATTTATAAGTTTCGGTTATAACTCAGTGGAATTTGAAAAATTATAGAATGAAATTAAATGACTACTCTGTCAGTAACTCAAAAGTAGAATCGTAGATTGTTTTATTTTTTTAAGTTTAATTTTAAATAATGAATAATTTGAGTTTAAAATAATACAATTTTCCAAAGTTAAAATTGATAAATAGAATACTTGTTTACGTTAGTAAATAATCACGAAATATATTAAATTAGTATAAGTTTATTAAAACAATTAAGAAAAAATCATAAATAATAATTATACATTTGTATACAGAAAAAAAAAATTATTTGAGTCAAGTAAATTTTGAAGAACTTTATCTACTTGAATTGAGTAGAAAAATTCTCAAACTAAGAAATTTTTCTTTGCTTAAATTTATTTTACTCGATTCAAGAATTCTTAGTTTTTAGTAATGAAACTCTTCAAAATTATTTTTTTATTTCAAAAATTTTTCTCTTGATTTAAGTTAATTTTTTTTTAGTGTAAAACAATTAAGGATTTAATAATAGACCGACTTTACAGACGAATGATTACTGATTCATGACTCCCCGAGTCGAAAAATAACTACGGTTTTAGGTCTCAAATGTGAGTTTTAGTCTCATTCATGTCTCAAATAGTCATTATTTTTCGGAAAAGTCTCAAGTAGACCTCAAACGCTTCGGTCTATGAGTAAAGTCTCATTTCGGTCTCAATCCAAATATTTTGAAGTGAGAAGTAAATGAGATATATAATGTGGAACTTAGACATATTTCCACATTTATACACTTAAAAAAATTTTCTCTTTTGATAGAAGGTATAATTTGGAACTTATCTTTTTATCTTTTTAGACTTGAATGAATTCTCTGTTTTAATAAAATTTTCGGATTTGCACAAAATTTCTAGAATTTACAATCGAATAAATATGAAATCTTAAAAAAATACTTACAAAAATAACAATTGATTTAGTTATATTTTTTGAAAACATTTATTGATTAATACATTGATAAGCATAAAATTTAATTTAAAAAATATGCATAATGAGTTAAAATCGTTTGTATATATAACTCATATAAATATATTTGTTTATATAAATTTGTTTATGTAAATAATAAATTTTCATAAGCAATAAACACAATGTTTAAATATTGGAAAATTTTTTTTCGAAACCCGTATACTTAAAAATTTTGTACCCTTGAAAAAAACTAAAATACAAAGAAAGCCTTTCAACTTTTACGACTCTAATACTTTAAAGAACTATAAAAATTTTATTTGTCTACACTACTTTCAAAAAAAATTTGGCCATATGTCTGGCTATGAACAACATGTATACATCTACAACAATGTATACATACCAAGTAAAATCGAGCATAGTTAAACAATCTCAAGAATATCCCGGTTAGTACTTCTTAGGCTTTCATATTGAGCACTTCTCATATTCTATATAGTGAAAAGTTCAAATAAACTAATTGTGATCAATTTGTTATTTTTAACTTTATTGTTGATTTTCTGACTAAAGTGAAAAATTTTTGTAAAAATGTCTGAAATATATGCTCTTATTTTTTGAACTAAATCAAAACACTTACAGACAATTAAAATTTCATTCATACCTGTCCATTCACGATATGAAAACGCTAGTGTAAAATTAAAGTGGAAAAATGAACGATCAAAATTATTTGAAGTGTTAGATTCTAAAATTTTGAAAATAAGTGGTAAGTAACTACATAAATGTAAATTTGGATGGTACAAAACCAAACTATTTTTGAATTAAGAAAAATTATAATAATGTTATTCCAGATGATAAAGATCTGCCGGACAATATTTCTGTTGATGAAAATACTGAAATCCTGGATGTAACAACAAAAGCGTTTTTAGGAACTATTTTAGCGCAACGGACCATTTTTCAATATGTAATAGATACTTATATAGAATTTTACAAAATTCAGTAATGTACTTAATTAGTTATTAAATTAAATTAATTTGTATTCATTCTAGTATGTATTGGTATTGATTTATTATTAATAAATAAAATTTTTTTTCAATTGAATTAAATTCGAACTTTTCATTTTATAAATGTAAATCTAATTTAAATAAAATAAAACTATGTATATACAATATAATATATAAAATAAATAAAATATATATAATGTCTGACTTTCTCGTAAGACTCTGAACAAATACTAATATTTAAAAATTTTATTTTTTCAAAAATTTGTCCGGTATTAAAGTATAATTTAAACCTCACTATTAGATAAATAAGGGCCTTAACTATTAGAAAAAAATTGAATTTACTTATAATCTAATATTTTTTATTTTACATTGGCGGCGAAAGGACCTCCTTAAACGTGTTTAAGGTTATATTGTGCAAATGAAAATGTAAACAACCGAAGTACAGCGTTGCCAAATCACGGACAGGTTACTAGCAGCTGATTTGAAAGAGTCAAATTAATTTTTGTATTTAACTATTTTTTTTTTTATTTTTAAAATTTCAACGATTAATGCCTCATATACTATTTATTATTTAATTTTAGGAATTTTTATGGGTTTTTTATTTTAATTTATCGTATATTGACTACTACAATTGTTTTGACTCAACTGGAGCGAAAGGATTTCCTTAAAATTTTCGCACCGTTTTCCCTTACTCTTGTTAAACTTAACGTGGTAGATAGCGTTACGTGAACTTTTCCAATTTTAGCTCGGCCGGAAAAATCATTCAGCTAATTGACTTACAAGCGTCAAAACTGATTGTATAATCTTGTGAATTTCCACAAAAGACAAATTTAAAGAAAAAAAAGAAAATTAGTTTTTAGAATAATCAAGTACTTCCGACGTTAAAACAAATTAATAAAAGTAAGTAAGTTGATATATTTGATAAATTATTTTTTAAAAAGTTCTTCACGTTAAATACTTTTCTTAAAAATAGGTATTTAAATATATAAATCAAGTGCGATTATTAAAATCAACAATTAATACAAAATGACAGTCGAATTGTTATCAATAATTGAAATATCAATAAAAACAAAAGCTTGAAATATTATATTTTGAGGTTAATGCTTACTAAGCTAACTAAACATCTATGATGGTTCTGAGTGTCCTAATGATGGTAATTGGTTATTTTGAGGAATGAGGATCTGTGGTTGTTCGGTTAGATCATAGATATCGCAAATGAACGTTTCCAAAACTCGTTTAGTTATTGTTGGCGCCACAATTTAATTAGCAACGGTGTCACAGGCTTATTCAAAGCATCTCTATTCATAACTTCACAACTAATAATAACACATAAATTCAGCAATATTGTTATTCATTTAAATTTTGATTCAAGTACAATTCTATTGTTACACTTTTACTTAATTTTAAATGTACTAGAGATTTGAGTATTAGCGCGCTACGCACGTGCTGTAATTTGAACCAATGAATTGTATCCCGTTTTTAGCAAGTTTTGACCAATGACTAAACTTTGAAACTTTCATATATTTTTAATTAGAGGGTTGATAGACTTTGAGTCTAGACCGTAGTAAATGAATTTTAGGAAATTTTATTTTTCTAATGACTTTTTAAGAAAATTTTTAAACGAAGTACTATCAAGCTTTCTCAATAGCTAACCATATGTTATTTTTCGAAAACGTCATTTTATTTGATTTCAAAATCAAAATTTATTTAAAACCTAATAAGAAAAATAAAATTTCCGAAAATACATTTACGACGGCCGACCCTTAACTTTATTATTACATTTTAATTCAGATTCACCCCTACTTACTTTTAAATGTACTCAGCTTCAATTTTATTCAGTTACGTTTTACATGAGTTACATTTCTATCTAGATACATTTACTCAGGTATTCACACCCGAAGTAAAGTATTTCTGTTTTACCGATAAGCCGTATGTGACGCGATAATCAGTGATAACCGGGAAAAAAAATTATTTTGATCAACGTACACTACCGACGGAAAGTTTCCAGACCAGCTTCTTGTTTACTTTTTAATTTAAATATGATACATAAACACATCAACTTGATCTATAAAGAAAATGCTATGTTATTTTACAAAGTGTGTACGATCGTGTCTTTGACTTTCCTCTTGATTTATTTTAATTTTAATAAATTTTCATTTTGTCCGGAAACTTTCTGTCAGCAGTGTACTTTTCCGTGACTTTTTGTGACGAGTCACGTTTTGATTGGAAGCTTCTCTATAATGGATCAAATTAAATTTCAACTTATTTTCTAATCAAAAATAAATTTCTGCTTTATTCGTTTTTTACAGAATAGCAAGCATCTTTAAAAAAATAAACGATGGAAAAACATAAAGAATCATCTTCAGAGTCTACTGAGGATATTACAATAATTGAAGAGTCATTTTTAATAACTTCAAACAATAATTACATCCCTCAAAAGACATTGACTAAACCGTGTCCGAAAGAACCATTTTGCATAAGATTGAACGATTCGATTATTGATGATCTTGATTGCAAGCTACGAAAGGTAGACGAAAAAATGAAAAAACTTTTCCTGATACCAGTTTTCAGACGTATGATCTGCTTGGCCATAAAATTCGAATGCGTTGCTGAAGTACTGAGCATAGTATCAATGGAAACAGAGTTAACAGTATTGTATCGCATGGCTCATCGTGGAAAGGAACTGGACAAAGTGTTAACTCAATTTCGCGTGGTAGAATCAGATCACCTATCCTTGCTGAACTGCTACAAAGCATGGGAAGCTTCTTTCTTTAATAAGATCTGGTGCAAACGTGTCAGCCTCGATTTTACGATCATGCAAAAAGTTCTTAATTTTCGTCAGCAACTCGAGCAAGCTTTGATTGAACAAAACATCAAAATTTCAAGCTGTGGGATTGAGTGGCTCAGTTTGTTGAAGTGTATTTCATGGACTTATATCAACAAAGCAGCTAAAATCGTTAACAAAATAAATGGCGAATATGCTAGCTGCCAAGCTGGTCACTCGAGATTTATCCACCCATCTTCAGCGGTCAACTATTTGGGGTTCAAACCTACTTATCTAGTTTAT